GGTAGTCTTGAAACCTACTTATTGACAAAAAACTAGATTGAAATGCTTTATCCATACACACCCACACCCCTTCCTTTTTTGCCTTGTGCAGCTTCCACAAAGTCCAGCACAGGCCCGTCATCTGAGGCGGTTCACTCAGAGGCGCCTCCTAAAGCTGTAGACAACGGATCTCCGGCATCACTTAGAGTTTGTCAGCCAGACACTTCGACTCTGAAACCCAATGATTTGATAGAACGTGGAAGTAACGCTGTTTCGCCCACTTCTTCCATTCCGTGCTGGTTGCCCTGTCCCACGGCGCTTCTCTTCGTGCCCTCATCTCCCAACCCTGACATCGCCTCAACTAGCACTGCTGCCACCAGAAGCACTGTCTCCACGTGGCCGTCTCCTCCACTCGCCTTCTCTCTGCCCTCGCCTCGAGGTGACGGTCAAAATGTCTCTGCAACACCTACTCACCTTGCTACCCCAGTTGCTGGCACAACCCCGATCAGGTTTTCACCGGACTGCCAGCTTCTACTGTTGCCTAGTCAACTGTCTCAGGTGACCTCCGACACTCCAACTCCAAAACTTAGCCTCGGCCTTCATGACAGTCTGCTCGAATCCCATTCCGGTGAACTTACTTCGCTCTCCGTGAGCCGGGCTATCTCTCCCATTCCCACGAAGGCTGTTGGTGCCGCCATCTCTCAAGGCCTGCTCAATACTGCCTCTGGCCTACCTACTCAAGCATCCAGAAACTGCGTCGGACAGGAAGCCAGCGGCTTGGCCGCGGACAGCGCGGACCCCTCTGAGCGACTCTTGCTATCACCCCGTCCTAATCTCACTGAATTCTGGTTCCCAGGGCTACGTGAAACTCGGCGTTTGATGCTTCCTCGCACTGGATCTGGCTGGCATTGCCCGCCGGGCCTTGAATATCTGACCTATGTCGATCAGATTCTTGTACATCAGCAGATTGAGTTGATCGAGGGTGCGTATATCTCGCTTAGCCTCGTTTATCTGAGGTATCTTTATGCGATTGACTGTTGGCTTATAGGCAACCTTATAAAGTCATGTTCGAAACAGACAGAACAAGAATCGAATTTTCAAACCAGTATTTTTGTGCGTAAAGTAGCATTAGGTGAGGTGGAGATTTTTATTCGTACTCTTCTGAGTGACTTGGAAAGCTGTGAATAGTGAATATCACCGCAGCATTAATTTAATGAGAAATCTTCGTTATAGGAAAGAATAAGATGCCTCTGTTTTGAACTCTTATTTATACGCATCGTCCCTAAAGTATATATCAGATGTTCTTGCTGCGTATTAGCTGCTCTCAAAACTGTTAGTAAATTGGCTTTGCTGTTTTTTTTTAAGATTTTGATTAACTTTCAAATTATTCGCAGCCTCGGTCATTTTGGCTTTATGTATTTTAGGCGACTCAGAATTTTAGCTGCATCTGGTCACTGTTTATTTGTGTACTTTCAGTCCTTCATAGAGAATATACTCTATGAAAATTATACCGTTGCTTTGATATAAGGGCTCCTGTGATAAATGAATAAGCGATACAAATTTTCAATTCTTCTAGTATCTACTTCCAAACTAAAAAGGCCTACATTACGACTCAGTTTTGTTTGCTTTCCTCTCTTTCTCTTCTCAATGCTTTAGTCCGTAGTCTTCATTTATATTATTAACGATCCCGCTATAACTATCTATTTGGCTTTGCCATTACTCTTTTTGGCTTCTCGTTCAACCGGACGTTGCAATTTATCCAGCTCTACATTCAACCAACATAGGACTTCTTTCTGAACAATTTCTTTTTGAGCGTCCCATTAAAGCGAATCACTTCAACGTCCAGGAACGGTAACCTCTCACCTTTCTCTACTTCCATCGTGAATTTAATTTTTCTATCAATCTCGTTTACAAACTTCAGAAACTCTTCCATGTGACCAAAGTGCGAAATAATCATCCAGGTACCACATGAGCAGTGCCGGTGGTAGCGTTGCCATCTTGAAGTTCTCTTATATTTTGTTCATGTATACGTTTGCCAGAAGTGGTGAGCTGCGATCCCATGGGAAGTCCAAATATTTGTTCATAGATGTTTCCGTTGAATGTAAAATAGGTTGTCCTTAT